TACATTAATGTAGTTGTGATGACAGGCATTTCTGGTGTCATAATTGGTTTTAAATTCCAGTAATCCATTTCAAATAGTTAAATAAAATTTGTGCGTTCAATTGGAATGGCTAAAGTCAGAACTTTCGTTATTGATATCACAGGAAATAGTCTTGAAGGCAAAAATGTGAGTGAAATCAAAATAACTATTAGTATCATCAAAGGGACTTGAATGTCTCACTGTACCTTCATGTAGGAGATGAGAGAGTATTTTTATAATATACGTATCCAGTTGTGAATGTCATAAGCTGAGTATCCTCCTCATAGAAACAGGAAACTGCACACCTAACCCAGTAAATGGCTAGCCTCTGATGGTTTGTTTGCTCCTTGCTGAGGGACTGCTTCTGCCCTGCCCTGTGCAATTACAAACCAAGCTGGTTTGTAGCATGTGTTTATGCAGCAGGGTGAGGATTGGGCTTTCTGGCTGGAGCAGCTTGTTTAGGCGAGAGCTGAGGATGTGTTTAGGTTAGGAAAGGCAGCTCATGAACAACTCCTGATACCAACATGTTCTGTACGGTGCCACGTCTTGGGGGACGCTGTCTTTACAAATTAAATGATAATTAAAGGTCAAAAATTTACTACATAAATTTCAACAAACATATTTTGAATTTCTTAACAGTCTTAAGTTTGATTTGCAGTTGATTTTGTAAACATGTTAACTACAGAGAACATTGTGCTTCTGTTCCCAGTACAAGTGATGGCAAAACGTTCTGGTTTGTCCTTATATGAGAGATCAGGATCATGAAAATAATGTAATAGACTGTATATTTAAAAGTTGAAAGCTAGACATTCTCCCTCCTGTGAAGCATCCAGCAGCACTTATAAATGTGACATTTCCAGATTTTTTAATTTGAATACATGGTGTTTTAGTTTGGGGAGGCAAGAAGGGCGGGTCATAATGAAGAAAGATGTGAAAAATACCTGTTTTGTCAAAGCACTTGAAATTGCAAACTGGTTATCAGTTAAAAGGTGAATTTCAATGAAGTTGATTCAGGTGGGGGTTTTTAGTGTTTTAGCATTTGACTGTTGGGGCAGAATGGATACAGTAAAATTGCACTTCAGGCCAGTCTGAGGAGGATGTTGTGTCTATAGGGAAATCCATGGGGAGGTGGAAGGACTGCATGGTCGTGGGCATGTCTGTGATGCAGAAGCACCCCTGCACCTCTTGGGTGTTGTGAAGAGCAGACGGACCCTGAGAGAGGGTCCTAGCCAACGGGAAGAGGCTATGCAATGACCACCATGACACCAGGGTGGGGACATTGCACTGCAAGGCCTGAAGCACGAGGCTCACTGGGGAATGAAAGCCCCTTACCCCACCTGGTGTAACCCTGTCTGGTCATAGATCTAGACGGGGATGATGGATAAAGAGGGAGAGAATGAAATTGCTATTTTTTTTAGAGAAATTAGGCAAATTAGATTGGGTTATCTAATTCATAGTGGAATGATGGATGAGGAGGAGTTTTATTTCTGTCTTGCATATGGATACAAGATGAGATTTTGGTAGGTTTTGCTGTGAATGGACTGAAGAATACCGAGAGCCTGAATTACGTGAGAGCTGAACAGTAGCAGGGTCCCTATGTTCCTTTCTGCAGGGAATTGCAGAAGGAGAAATTTCACAGGGGAGTACTTTGAATGCCATGGCTATACTTTGCAATGAAACTGGGTAGGAGTGAGGGAAAGAAGAGACAATTCAGAGCCAGGGACAGGAACCAGACTACAAGAAGCTGGGCAGATGAGGGTGGGAATACCCTTTAAGTGAAGAACTGTAGCATCTTGAGATTGTGGTAGCTGGATCCTAAAAACTGAACAGCTGATCAGAGTATGTGGCATTCAGAGGTGGTTATTTCTCACTAAGCAGAGATTTTGCTGACCTTTCTGCATATTTCATCAAAAACGTATAAAATTTCCAGTGACAAAATATCAACATGCGTGGGTCAGGCTTCTCAGACTTGATCCAACATTGTTAGTTTTTAAATGAAAAATTATGCGTTTGGTGTTCCTCTTGATTTTTTTTTTTGACTCATCCTGTATATATTCTACATTATATGTGTCTATATGTTTGTGGAAGACAGAAAATAGCAAAAAAAAATCAGAAAACATTATAATGTTCCAACTACAGCTGCTGTTGTTACTTTGTTAAAGTTATCTTTGAGAAAGAGCCACAGAATAACTTAAAATCTCAACCACAACTCCTCCTCCCGTCATCAGTCCAAATAACCATAAGTTTGAACTGATGCTTAGGGTTAAACATCAGAATTAATAAACTCCACTGGGATCTGTCAGCATTTCCAAACTTCGATAGAGCATAAAATGCTAAAATTAACTACCCAAACCTTCCTGAGCATGTAAAGGCACCAGTTCCCGTTGAGGTCAACTGAATAAATGAAATTAGACTGCATTTTTCAAGCTGTTCTAGAATAATAACAATTCACAAAGACTTTTCTAAACCTGCTTCAATATATACATCTGTCTGTAAAAACAGTGCATTTCTTGTATTTTTATGTTCTCGTTTGCCAACATGCCTTGTTTAAGCATGGTAAGGAGAAATAACACCTGTGGTATGTGGAATCCAGACAGAAAGCAGATTCTGATTTGGAGGTTTTTCTTGTGTTGTTTTTTGAGGGGTTATTGGGTTTTGGTTTTGGTTTGGTTTCAGGTTTGGGTTTTTTTTTGTTGGGTTTTTTTTTTATTATTTTTTAAGTGTATAGCAGATACTCAAAATCTCAGTCAACTTCAGTCAATGGCAAGCCTAAGTACTACAGCTCTCAAGTGTCTAACTAATCCTTTTGAACATGAAGTTTGGTTTGTTTCAAAAGTTAAGCAAACTTTCAAAAATTTTTTAAAAAATGTGTTTGAATATACCCACATTTTTAATGATTGTGGTCTGCTGAACAGAAAACCTGCATGGAAACCAAGAATTTTATTTGCTTACTACATTGCCTTGGGTGAACACCCAGCTTGACACCTTTGGAAATCAGACACTGCAAGCTAAATTGAAGTGCAGTCCTATAGCCTATAGGTACAAACTTTTTCCGTTTATTAATATTTTTATAAATAATAACTTTGACAGCATGTAATTAATGGGTCCCCAACATGAAACCTGAATCTGTTAAACTTTGAAAAAGATCTGCTTTACATCTGAGCAACATTTTGTAGCTCATGTTCATCTTTAATACACATGAATATACACTTCCTCCTTCTTACAAGATCTGCATTGTATCACAACCTCAGTCATCCTATTGAGGACCAAACAGGTCTCTTCTTGGAGACCACCCATGCTTTCTCTTTTAGGCCTTGGTCCTGCAAATACTTAAGCATGTGTGGAACTTTGCTTTCAAGACTCACCCTTTGAAGTCTGCTGGACTACTCCCATGAGCACAATTACATGCATTTTAAGTGTGCCAGATTTGTACCTCAAGTTGTCTAGCAAGTGGCCACTATGAAGCCGTGTGAGGAATGGTGTCCACCTGGAGTGTGCCTGTAGCCTTTGTAGAAGGCATAGCCAGTAAATGCTTTTGGCTAAAGCCAAACAGAAAGTTGACCAAATTAATTATTCAGTAATGTATAGAGTTCAGAAATTTTGTTAGTGAATAAAGTGTCAAATCACTCCACTGAAAAACACAGATCTTAATTATGTTCTAATATAACCTTATAGCATCATATAGTTTGAGAGTTATTAATGTAAACTTTATATTTTAAATAGAATTTTATGGACACATTATTTTTGTATAGAGTAGAGAAGTGGAAAGGATAGAAGATTACTGTGGACAATTATGCACACCAGAACAGAGCACTTGTGTTTAACAAACAGCTTTGAATTCTAATTTTCTGCAATATACATAGTGTAGGTACAATTTGTAGTCATTACTGTGTATTAGGAAAGTTATTAAAATTCTTAAACTTGTTGAGGCTTTCCACAACACCTTCCCCAGATTTTAATTGGTTTTGTCTAGTTCCATAAGAGAGCTCTTTAAAACAAATCAGAGTGCCTTAAATCACATGTCTTAACCATCGAAGGACAGAGATATTCCTTCTATAATCTGGCAGGTTTTCCTAAGAACTGAAATCTGAAGATTCTCAATGATGAATTAAAAGACTTGGCAGGAGATAATTTGTGTGCCTTTTGATGGGCTTGGTTTCAAAATGACAAAATAACAATGTTTTGTACCAGAAGGGTTAAATCTTAATCTCAGAGGTTTACAAAGCTGCTAGTCGCAGTCTCCTTAAAATTTAATATACCTCGTTAATGCTTAACTTGCAAACACTGAAGGATTTTTATGATTATAATCATGTGTTACAGCACCTAGTACTGTTTCTAAGCAGCATACTAATCAGCTTAATGAGATATTACTGCACTTTTTGTTGACTAAAGCAAAATCCCTTTTATTGTTCTAAAGCTTGTCCTTTACTTTATTTTTTCCCAAAACATTATCTTGTTTTATTGTACACCAGTAAATATCATACCATCGTTTTTTTGTCAAATCATAAAACCATCTTTCTCATTGTAGAATGTGTAATATATTGAATATGGTTGATGGAACTGAAAGTTACCAATGGATATCTATTTTGGGGTTTTTTTGCTGGCTTTTTCATGGAAATGGGAGAGATGCATAACATTTCTTCTTCTATAGATTTAGGAATGTAAACGTGCAATTTCACAAGAAGGAAGACAAGGGAGGTGGTAAAAGCCCTTGCCTCTTCCGTAATAATTAGATTTTGAAATTGTAGCATGTTTTAAAATAGTAATTAATGGTTATTGGTAAACATGCAGAATGATGAAAGCATGTGTATAATCAAAATTGTGTAGCACAGTTGGCATTTAATACACTTTTTATTGTTTTTACACTAATTCCTTTGCATTATTATGAGTAGGTAAAACATAAAATGCAAATTGTACGTCAGTGATTCAATGCTTGTAACTCTTTCACAGTCTGAATCTAAAATATCTTCTGATTTTCAGAGATGGAGGAAGCTAGTTTGTGCCTTGGTGTTTCTTCAGCTGTGCCAGAAGCTGATGCCCATCTGAACAGCACCATACTCAATGGGCAGTATTCAATGAGCCAGAAGCTGCACCAGATCACTTCCCAGCTCAGCCATGCCTTCCCAGAGCTCCAGAACAGGCAGAATCCAGAGGAGAAGGCATCAGCGCCGCTAGAAGATAAAAGCCACCTGTCCATAGCAAACCAGCCCATCAGCAGTCAGATGGCGCTATTGGCAAACCAGCTCAATAGAGAGGTTGATACCAGTTTGAATGGGCGCGTGGACTTGCAGCAATTCTTAAATGGACAAAACCTAGGGATTATGTCTCAGATGAGTGATATAGAGGATGATGCCAGGAAAAACAGAAAGTACCCATGTCCCCTCTGTGGGAAACGCTTTCGATTTAACAGCATCCTGTCACTACACATGCGAACTCATACTGGAGAGAAACCATTTAAGTGTCCATACTGTGACCACAGAGCAGCTCAGAAAGGCAACCTGAAGATACACCTACGTACTCATAAGCTTGGAAACCTTGGCAAAGGTCGTGGAAGAGTCCGAGAAGAAAATAGACTTTTACATGAGCTGGAGGAGAGAGCAATTCTTCGGGACAAACAGATGAAGAGCAGCCTCTTGCAGCCACGACCTGATGTGAAAGCACAGCAGCACACCCAGCCAATGCCTCTCGCAAACTGTAACTTGTCTGTGCCAGCTAATCACAGCACACCTGATATTTCAAACCCTGTTCCCTCTCCAAAGCCAGTCAGTGTCCAGGAAGAAGTTGTCGCTCAGACAGCTGGGTTCAGATGCACGTTTTGCAAAGGCAAGTTTAAGAAGCGAGAAGAGCTGGACAGGCACATAAGGATCCTGCACAAGCCTTACAAGTGCACCCTGTGTGACTTTGCCGCCTCACAGGAGGAAGAGCTGATTAGCCACGTGGAGAAGGCTCACATAACTGCAGAGTCAGCACAGGGCCAGGGCTCCAACGGGAACGGGGAGCAATCCACCAATGAGTTTCGTTGCGAGGTGTGTGGCCAAGTGTTTAGCCAAGCCTGGTTCCTAAAAGGCCATATGAGAAAGCACAAGGATTCCTTTGAACACTGCTGTCAGATCTGTGGGAGGCGATTCAAAGAGCCTTGGTTTCTTAAAAATCACATGAAAGTTCACCTGAATAAATTATCTGTAAAGAACAAATCTCCTAATGATCCTGAAGTACCTGTTTCCATCAGCAGCATGTCCCAGGAAGCTCATGCAAACTTATATTCAAGATACCTGTCATGTTTGCAGAGTGGGTTTCTTCCTCCTGACAAAGCAAGTTTAAGTGAACAAAATCAAATCTATAACAAAGGAGATATGCCCATGAAAGAGAAAGAAGTCTTGGGAAAGCTCCTTTCACCCATTTCTGGCATTGGCCACAGTATTGCTGAAGGGGATAAACATTCTTTATTGGGCTGTCTCAATCTGGTGCCTCCTCTGAAATCCAGCTGCATAGAAAGGTTACAAGCTGCCGCCAAAGCGGCAGAGATGGATCCAGTAAACAGCTATCAGGCCTGGCAGCTTATGGCAAGGGGAATGGCCATGGAACATGGCTTTTTGTCTAAAGAGCAGCAGATACAGCGCAGCCATGAAGACACTTTGGCAACTGCTGGAGTTATGTTTGATAAGGAGAAGCGGGAGTATGTGTTAGTAGGAGCAGATGGCTCTAAGCAGAAAATGCCTGCTGATTTGGTTCACAGCACTAAAATGGGCAATCAGAGAGACTTGCCAAACAAACTAGACCCTTTAGAAGGCAGTAGAGATTTTTTGTCACATGGTATGAACCAGGGACTCGATTACAACTTACAAAGTCATGGAAACGTAAAAGAAAAGCCAACTGAATGCCCAGACTGTGGAAGGGTTTTTAGAACATACCACCAAGTGGTTGTTCACTCCAGGGTCCACAAAAGGGACAGGAAAGGAGAAGATGAAATAATTCAAGGTAGTCTTGATGAGCGACGTGGGTCTGGAAGTGATCAGGAGTCTCAGTCTGTCAGCAGGTCGACAACACCAGGGTCCTCTAACGTTACCGAAGAAAGTGGAGTAGGTGGGGGTCTCTCACAGACGGGGAGTGCCCAGGAGGACAGCCCACATCCTTCCTCACCCTCCTCTTCAGGTATGATAACTTCTCCTTCCCTCTCTGCACTGAAAGCTTTGTAGCTATATTTGAAATCACAGCAGCAAAGTAGTTTATGCATTCTCTTGTTAGGTCGTTTCCTAGCAGTCCACAGGGACGTGGTGTTACATGCCAGAACATCTGTGTTTGGGTTCCCGCAATGCCTTCGGGGTTAATTCTCGGCTCACCCTTTTCTCCCCTCCAAGGGCAGGTTTTCTAGCCTTTCAGCTGTCACCTCTGCCACCCCACCGGCAGCAGTGTGCAGGGTCTGTACAGTCACCAATGGCAATGTTGCTTCCAGGGCCTCTCCCTCCAGGTTTTGGAAGGTGTTTTTTAACTCCTCTTCTGTTCATGGTGTCTCTCCTGCAGATCTTTCCATGTCCTCCATGTAAAAGGGTGAGGAAAGATGCCTTCTTTGAGCTATAATTCAAAGAAATACAATTAATAAACAGTGTGTTGGCTAACCTCTCTGATTGCCCTTATTCCCACAACCATATCAATCACTTAGCTGAGATATGTACTTGTGCCTGGCCACAGGACTGATTAAAAAGAGATTCAGAAATACAAACTACTAACTTTTTGACACTTTTAATTTATGTGCACATTTTAACATGTATGAAAACTTCTGCTTAATTCACATCTATTTGAAAGTACAAGAAAAATAGAAATTGGACTGAAACATTTTAATTGCGTTCTATGTCATGTTAACTTGCTGTGTATAAAAAAGCAAAGCAGATAATATTTCATTGGAGGTGTCTCTAAAATATTCAGCTTCCTGGTACAATTTTTAAAGTTACTAGCCTATGTTTGCTGAAATAAAATCTCCAAGTAATAACAGGTAAGATTTCTGGCCTCATGTATGTTTCCAAAGTCACTTACTAATGGATAGTAAATTGAAAGTTATATCTTCAGCCCTTTATAAAGAAAGCACCTCACTAATACTGTAATCATTCTGCAAGCCTAACAACAGAGGAAATCATGCCATAACAAATACTCTGTTACTAATGGCAACATTGATTTCTGCAATCAGCCATTAAGTCTAGAAAATGAAAGACAGTTTGAGGTACCTTAAGGCATTACATTGCCCACTGTTAAAGAGCTGGTAGCAGGCTGTTGAGGGTAATTCTTTTTATGTTTTTTTTTCCCCCCTCAGTTTCGATAAATATTTTAGTATTGGAGGCAATTCACTGTTACAGTTATTAAGTATATGCCAGTTTATTTTTGTTGTTCTTGTCATGCTCCAGTATACTCTACTTCTGAGGCCAAATTAATATAAAAATAAAGTGTTAGTTTGCTGGCTTATTACAAACCAGTAAAGAAATTGTTAAGACACATAAATCTGCACTCCACATTCCACAGATTCCTATAGTACTTAATGCTGTTGTTTAAATACCCATGAAACACACTGTCTACTCTTGGAGTCATAGCCTCGTTTACAATTTATTACTGGTGAGACACATTAGAAAATTCTATGTAGGAACAAGGGTAACAGGCGAGAGCTAATTTCATACTATATATAGTTGTTGAGATTGTTTTAAGAGGATTGAAAATATGTCAGGATGAAGAAGATTATTTTTCTAACTTTCACTTTTAAAAATCCTACACATTGGCAGGGGGGAAGGGAAACACTCCTCTTTAATATAGAAAGCGTTGCTTTTGTTTTGCTGTAGAGCGATCGGAAATAAAAGATGCTGAAATTGCTTAAACTCTGTCCGAAGCCTCCCAGGGCTGTCTGGAAAAGTTTGGGAAAAAAGGGCCACAGAGTCTTCTGAGTGAGGTTGAACTGATAGAGATTGAAGAGTATTCAAAACAATGCATGTGAAAGTTGATGTGTTTTGAGTGCCCTGAAAACTTTAATTCCAAGTGTTCTGGTTCGTTAAATGTATTGTTGTGGGAAGTTTTTCCTATCTTCAGAAGCAAAAGATAACACCAAAGTGGTGTTCTCTCTCTGGCCGCGAATTTAAAATTATTTTTAACTCAAACTACAATTTATTTAAAACATTTGTTTTCACACCTGAGGTATTTGTATTGAAGCATATAAAACTGAAAGCAAAATATGTGCATGTTCATTTGTACTGCAGAAAACCAGACCTTTTATATTAATATCTGATTGTCTCCTTTAGTCTGTTGTCGGTAAATCTAGGAAGGCTCTGTGTCATACATCCTATCGTGGAAAATGTGCAGATTTTTATAACTTCTTAATCAGATGAAAGGAACAGAGTATTGCATTTTACCAGAAAAAAAAAATAATCTAAGTATTCTTGTACTTTAAAATTAAATTTTATTGCTATGTTGCTGTTGGAACTTTTCATTATTATGAAGTGTGCATTTTATCAGTACCTGTGAAAAAATAAACCTGTAGAATATAAATAAATCAGATTTTTTGCGTAGAGGAGAATTAAGTAGTCATTGAATCTTCTACTGAGAAATTACCGCAAAACACAGTTTTACAAATTTCTCAGACTGCGTAACAATGTCTCAAAACTTAATTTGCATCACTTGATTCTTTTTTGTTGAAAACTGGGTCAGTAGGGCCTGAGAAACTATTTTTTCAGATCTTAACCAATGAATTCTTCTTTATAAATTGGTGCTCTTAACATGATAGTAGTTCTGAATTCATCATAAAAACCTTTTTACACAGTGCCTCTTAGAACAGATCTCCAGAAGAAGGCTTACAATGAGTGGCAGAGAAGTCTTTGTTATCTGATGTAATTCTTTGCAAAGGAGGATTGGGAATGGAGTGCCTGTTTAAAAATGTCTAGCTCAGGCTGAGAAGAAGAAAGGGTCAAGTTTGCAATCAAACAGTTATTGCAGAGATGTGTGACTGTCA